TGACCCTCCCATTTTCATCATGGTTACAGATGCCTTCAGTGCAGGCTACATCTGAACCCTCCCGAGATCCTGTTTCACTGCCCTCCATGCTTGATGAATATCCGCAATCACTACCATTACAATGTGGAGATAAACCTGAGATGAAATGAGAAGTTACTGTAATCTACAGCACAAAGTTATAAATTTTTTAGTTAAGCCTCTACAAATGAAAGTATGTAAAAAATCACATTTAGAAAGTTAACTGGAATTCTGCAGGTGGGTGCCTGCTCCATCTGGGCCCGCCATGCTGCACGTGAGGGCCAACTCCAGCTGGGCATGTACACCACAGCCCGGGCAGGGGTCTGCTCTGGCAGGACCACTGGTTAACCGGATACTCCGGTAACCACAACAATAAGGCTAATGCTTATTGGGTAAATGGTTAACCCTTTATATCACTACTACAATCAAGAAGCTCTTAGAATATGAATTTTAAAAAAAGTTTTCAACTTTTTTTTTTTTTTTTTTAAAGAAGAGTATGACAAGATCTTCCCTCACCCTACATTAAATACTTTCAGAATAAACAATTACAAGTAAGTTTCACATACCTTTCTTTATTTTAGGTGAACCCAACAGAGTACCACTACTAGGACAGGTACATGAAGTGCTTTCATTGGTAACAATTACTTCTACACAATTGCTAGTATCATCTGTACTACCACAGGCTTTGCAACTATTTTCCATAAAGTCTGAGTTTTCCTTAAATAAAACCAAGAGACATATGCAAGTGTTAAAACAACTAGATAGCTAATGACATTCCTCTATTTTTGCTCTTTAAATCCCTAGAGAGAAGACAGTCCTATCAAAAAAGAAACTATGGTTGCTGGATAAGGCTGTTATAGTATCATGTTGATTTCCCCCCTCCCCCACTTTTTGAAGCAACTTTAAGACAGACACATTCTCTCTCTCTCTCAGAATGTGGCCAGAGAAAACCCTGTTCTAAATCAACTCAAAGACCTTACTTCAATAACAGGTACATTTCCCAATAGCTAGATTCAGCAGCACGGATCTTGAAGCCACAGTAAGGTACGGTATGCCTACACTGCCATTAAACACCTTTGGCTAGCTTGTGCCAGCTGATTTGGGATTGGAGGGCATGGGCTGCAAAACTACAGTGCACCAGCTGGGAGCTTGAGCACGGGCCTGAAGGTCTACATTGCAATTTTACAGTCCCTCAGTCTAAGCCCTGCGAGCTCAAGTCAGCTGACATGAGTCAGCTTAGAGAGTTTATTGAAGTGCAGACATACTCTTAGTCTTCTTACAAAAGGCCATCACTGGTGGTAACTATCTTTGAGTAGCATGCCAATCTGATGTTCTCTTTAGGTAAGTGATAGCCTAATATTTTTTTTAAACGATCTATTAACCTAACTCCAGATGGTCAGTTGAAGTAATCTACAAATTGAGTCCTCATTCGCAAACTATTTTTTTTTACAAAAAGGCAAAACTATTATAAAAAGGTATCAAGTTTTGTTAGAGACTCACTTAAACTTGGTTCCCACCAATAAAAATAAAAAATAAAGACCACTGTAGAGTCAAAAATGTGATGAGCAACAGAATGTTATCAATTCAAAGTAGTTGTTCAATAGCAACACAAATCATTAAGCTGATTGATCAGCAATATTTACCTTCTCCTGACTGATTTCTTTCTCTTCTGTTGCCTGTAAGGGAGCAGGAATCTCACACACACACTTGTTTTTCCGCCTATTCTTCCGTTTTTGGCGCTTTTTCTCTTGTTTAAGTTCTCTTACTCTTTCCTCTTCTGAAAACTCTTCACAGAGTTGTTCCAATCGACTGATACCCTGCACTTTTTCCACGGCCATCTATTAATAAAATTCAAAACCTTGCTCAAAAGGAGTTAAATCTAAACTCTAGCTTCTCCATTTATAAAACAGAATGGACTATAAAACGGGCACATTGATAAGTAGTTTGTTCAAAGTGACTTCGATGAATTAATCATAGCACTATCACTCTCAAGGCTTAAGAAAACTGTCAATTTAAATGTAGTCCCAAATATAGATTTTTGGGAAGGATGCTCCTGTAAGAATTATGAACAAAACTGCATCAATATAAATTTTATTAAATGATTTAATTCTTTCAAGAAATGGAAATGAAATGACTTAATAAGTTTAGCTTTGCTGCACTGAAAACGTGAAACACAAGTGATTCAGATTCATGAACTTTCCTCATCTAAAAGTGGAAGAGTAAAGCAAACCCCCCCCCCAAAAAAACACCAGGATTTGGAAAATGTTCTGTTTAATAATTAAAGGTACTATTGTAACACACATACAAATGTAGTATTCTCATGGATACAGCTGGCTGGAGCACCAGCAAGATAAATCTAAATCCTTAAACATAAAAATCTTCCACAATGTATTTAGAGTTAAGATATCACAGTAAAGGTTTTGCCTGTGTAGGAAATTAGAAAAGCATAACTCCTTATATCGACACATCTTGGAAGGAGTGGCTTTTCTTGGTTTATATTAAACCACTTCCAAAGCAACATAAGCTATGAGGAGTTATACCCATTGCAGTGTCATGGTTTATCTTCACATCCTACCTTGTATTGGTATAACCTGCCCTTTTAGACAGACCCTTCACAAAAAGCCACAGGAAGATTTCATTTTCAACAATGTATTTTACACATTGGAAAACAGGTAATTTAGACTCACATCTACAACAACAAAAAGTTCTTACAAAATGATTTGTAAGGCTATAAGGTGGGAACAAATTGACCCTTAATTTGATTATAAATTCACTCAAACTGGATTTCATCTTTTTTCCCTCCTTAACTTGTTTAAACGATTTTAAACACACAGAACAGTCATTCTGAAAAGGAACTAGCATTATACACAAGATGAAGACAAAACTATTCCAATTAAAATAATGGAATTTTAACGACAAAGGTACTGAAGGATGCATGAGTTCATGAGCAAGTAAATGTTAAAAGGAGGCTCAGATAAGGTTCTGCCCCAAATTTAGATATTGTAAATCCTGCCCCATCCCTAAGACTTTGAAAGTTTCCAATTAACACAGTTTAGTTTGAATTTAGGCATTTGAATTTGTAATTCAAAGGCTTGTCCATCCTTGCAATTCTTCATCATAGTTAAAACGAAAATAAGGTAACCTTATTACACCATAGCTAAAACCTGCAACATAGGGATATGGTAAAATATTGCCTAACATCCAGTAGAGAATCCAGTGTATGGACTGAAATATAAAATAATGTGGTTTATCCTCCCCCATTATCCAAGCTACATTTCATGTCAGAATGAAAACAATTATAATAAATGGGGAATGAGGATTTTTTTAAGTTAATATTTAATGTAAAAACTTTATTTTTACTGCTCAGTCATAAAGCTTTAAAACGTGTCACCCATTTTTACCTCAAAACTCTTGCGTAAAGCATCAACGCCAAGGTAAAAAAGCATCTGCCAGGTTTGCTCTTCAGCCCGTAGCTTCTGCCAGATTCGGTGTAATCTTTCATAAAGATGAATACCCAAGCAGGTCAAAACCTCTTCTTGGGCTATGTCTATTGTTTTAGCATGCCTTTCCCTTCGTCTGCAACAAGATTATACTGAGTTGGTTTCTAATATATGAACAATGTATTGTCGCAGAGATATACACAGTATTAAACTATTCCATTCATTAAGAAAGTCAACAGAAATCTATTTACATGTAAAGCAGTTGAAAATGAGCATTTCTATAGAAGACAGAACAATCTGAAGAGACAGTTGCATCATCACAGTAATGACTGCATAGTGTTCTGTTGTGCTGCATGCAAATGCAAAATAGAAGGGACCAGAACAAAAATCTGAGACTACATCAGTGGCTCGCTCTCATGACAGCATCTTAAGGCTACACTGTATTTTCCATCCTGTGGTATCTGAGGGGAGCTCTCACCAGTACATGATTTCTACTGGGAGGAGATTGCAAGAGGTTTTTTTTTTTTTTTTTTTAATCACTCAGTATCAGCATGGCACAATCAAGCATTTTATTTTCCAGGATTTTATCATCTAGTTTATCTAGTCTACTGTGAATTTTAGTTGCACCTTCAAGAGAAACCATGTAGGAAGCAAAATGTTTATTACATCTTTCAAAAGAGTGACTCTAAGTTTATGAATTACCTACCTTGAAGTTAAGCAACTGTATCCCAATACTAGTTGTTAAACCATTACTCTATTAAGAACAAGTGTTTGTAACATTCTTCTGTTTTTTCCTCCCAAGGCATATAACATTGAAGTCTAAATGATTCAAGTCTAGAACTACATTATCACTGGAAGATTTTTGGACAGTAACTGAAAAGTGTGAAGCAGCTAAATTATTCTTTAAATTATGGACTTGTTATATAAAAACCTCAGTAAACTTTCATTCAGGTTTCCCTTTCTATTTCACATATCTTTAAACACCTCAATGGGAAAGCAAGGCAGCCCTAACAAATGAACAAATTAATTTCAAAGCATTTAACAATTTCACTTGTAGATTTATAGGAAGCAAGAGACAAATGAAATGCTCATTGCTTTGAAACATCATGAAGGAATACATCGCATACAAACAGCTGCACCTAAAATCCATTATGCAGCAGAGGCAGAAAATATTAATCATTCTTGCAACATATGTTCAGAAATAAAATAAAGAAGCAAAGCGCTAGATAGCCCATTCTAGCAAATTACATACTCATACCCTCCTGCGAACTCTGGTTCAGCTCGACCCAATAGGTGCGCAATGAAGTCTGTTTCACAGCATACATGAATATGACGTTCATGTGGACAACTACGCAAACCCTCATAAAGTGCAGCACAATAGCCCTTTTCTTTGCTGCAATCTAGCTCACCAATAAGAATATTGTACGCTCGAAGCACTTTATTTTTGCAATCAGTGCAAAACCTGTATTAAAATTAAAAAAGTAGATGTTAGCATTCTTATTGAAATCGCATAGTTTAATAAATGTAGCATGAAGAATTATCTTAAAACTAGACCACTAAGTTAAGAGGTTTCAAATAAAAGCTAAAAAGACTGATATGGATAATATCAAAGTATACAGTATACCATATAATATAATGAAGTTAATATGAACTTTTGTACTTCAGATCATAAACTATCTGGTAACATTAAGAAGAAACTTTCTCTATGGATAGATTATTTCATATTGTCCATTACTGAGATTCCTGCAAGATACTGGACATAATGAATCACTGGTCCAAGCCAACACAACAATTCCTATACCTTTAATATTCTCTCCCCTCCCCCCCCCAAACTAGGACACATTGTAAGTGACTTTGTAATGGGACTTCACAAGATTTTTTAATTACTACAGTGAATAATTAGGGAGACAGTGAAGAGTACATTCTTATCTGCTGCACAAGATCTGCATTTCCATTATAAAACTACTTTAGTGCCTGAGATTTCTGTACATCTGTGTGCATATTAAACAAATAGTTTAGTTATACCTGCTTGCTAGTGTTTCATGAACTTTCAACCAGCTATGAAGTGCACTATTCAGATTTAGAAAAATTCTAAATCTAAAAAAAATAAAATGCAACCAAGCTTAAGAAAACTATTTTAAAGAGTAATACTTGATAGTCAAAGTGAATTATTCCAATGCCTGACAATTATCTAAAAAGTTTATAATGCAAACTCAAATGTGTTCCTAATTCAGTTTTAAAATTCTAAAACATTGCATGCTAACTTATGTCGACTTTAGGTGGAACGGGGGCTCTATTTTCTCCTACCCCACAAGAAAGTTTTAGTTATAGAAAACGACAATATTTTATAAATCAACTATATTTCAGTTGCTAAGCAGTTGCTCATTTATATTCTATTTTTATGTGGTCAAGTGACAGAAAATAAAAATATTAATCTAGCTTCCAGTAACATATTAGACATTCTGCTAACTGAAGACTTTCAATGTTATAAGAATTAATTAGCTGATGATAGACAAGTGGTTGAATAGGTGTATTGAACATCATGTTCCTATGATTTTGAAGGTTTCCTTTTCTCATACTACAGGCAGTCCCTGGGTTACGTATAAGATAGGGACTATAGGTTTGTTCTTAAGTTGAATTTGTATGTAAGTCGGAACTGGCTCCAGATTCAGCTGCTGCTGCTGAAACTGACCAGGGGCTGACTACAGGAAGCTGGAGGCAGAATTGCTCTGCCCCCAGCTTCCTGGAATCAGCCACTGATCAGTTTCAACAGC